GACATTCAGCAGGTGACACTGAGATACACAGATGGGGAAACAGCTGCACCTGCAATTGTTAGAAACTAGAAAGGTTGCAAGTCCTAATTTCAGTCAAACTCTTACAGGTTGACAGATCTTTATAAAAAATATCACCTGCACAGAATGGGTTATATGCAGCAACACACAAAACCATAATAGCTGGAAATTCGGGCAACTGCAAAAGCTAAACTAGTCAACATGGGTATTCTTCAGTTGTTTTTTTCCCAAGATAGCACTGACTTTTGGCAACTATTGACAATGTGGTTTTTCTGCTATTTTTCTTGACACCATTGCTTCCTTCCTTTAGAATCACTATGCTTCTTGTTCTCCAGTTCATACAGACACGTCAGCAGTGATGCATGCTGTACAAAATGAAAGTGACATGACAGCATGCTCCATTCAACATGTGGAAATCCTGTGCAAGAAAGTTTATCCATTCACATTAATGGAGACAGTGACCTTTGGTTAGACATTATTTAGAGTACTGTGGCCACTTCTGGGCACTTTAGTTTAAGAAGCATATTGAGAAGCTGGAATGTGTCTAGAGGAGGGCAAAATATGGCAAAAGATTTGGAAATAAAGTCCTGTGAGGAAAGGTTGAAGGAACTCAGCATGTTTAGCCTCAGTGACCCTGCTCAGCTCCTGCAAACTCAATGCCATGGCTTCTTCTATGGCTTCAATCCATCTCATATTTCTTCCTCTTTTCCTGCAGCATCCAACTCTTCCTAGCATTATTGTCTCTTCTAGGGCATCTGGCCTTCTCAGGAAGTGCCCAAAGTATGATAGTATGCCAGTTTTGTTATTTTTGCTTCCAGAGACAATTCAGGTCAGTATAAGTATTTTACTCTGACTGGCACTTTAGAAGAATGTTTGGAATGGTTGTTGTGGGTTTTTTGGGTATTTTACTCTGACTGGAACTTCAGAAGAATGTTTGGAATGTTACACTTGCAGCAAGGCATAGGAATAAGAGAATATGGTCAAGGACCAAGACATGATTTTTTTTTTACGTCAGTCTTACTGGGGTGTACATGGGAAGTAACTAGCCCTCTACCCTTAAAAATCTTAGACCATCAGGTCCTTTTGAGATATTGGTCCCTAAGCAACTTTCAACTCTGATTTATAGCTTCAAGAAGCTATTGGGTATGACAGTGGTCCCATCAGAAGCAGTGGGGAAAGGTACAATATGAGATGATTATAGTCCAGGAATATGGAGGGTAAGAGAAAACAAGCACATTAGAGATCCCAAGAAAAGCCATCATGGCAGAAATGAATAATCAAATGGTTCTCAGTCCCTGGCAGTAAAGAGGGGTTTGATTTTTTTTTTAAAGGAATGATTAAGATTGGAACACATTACATAAGTCAGGAAAATCAATAAATATAACAAAGGAAATGGAAAGGCTATGTCTGAGAGTACTTGAAGATAGAGGCACATGGTGGTATGTGGAAAACTAAAAAGTACTGATGGTTTTATTATTATTTGTGATCAGAAGACATTAATCCATACAGGGAAGCAATAATGGTTTATAAGCAAATATGAAGGTTTGTGAAAAGTTTTATAGCAGTATCAGATAGAACAGTTATGTTAGAATTGTATGGAACATCAACAGATGTGAACATAACAAAAGTATATGCATCTGTAAAATGAAAAAGCAGGAGAAATGAATCATCAAATGAATCATTCATACACTTCATATTCTTAAATTTAAAAAAAACACAATAATGTTCCTATTATACTATGGGACTTTAACAAGAAAGTCAGAAAAGGAAGAGTTGATACTGTGACAGGAAATATGGATCAGGAGACAGAAATGAACAAGGAGAAAAACTAATTCAATTTTGCCAAGAAACAAATATTAAGTTTACAGTCCACTTTATCACCACCAAAACTATGAACACAGGCATCCTTCCAACATATTGTTCATAAACAAATTTACCTTATACTTATAAATCACAGATTCCAAAATAGAGTGTTAAGTGCAAAAATATAGCCTGGGGCAGATATAAAATTCAAAGCATAATGCACTTGTTAGAACACTTAGAATAAAAAGTTAAAACAGAACACACAAATACTACAGCTAGAGGAAATTAGAAGTATGAGGACTGAAGCCACTTGAGAAAGTGGAAGAACTAAATAGAGAATTAGAAGAATGATTTAAGGACAACAGAGGTATGAATACCGAAAATGTAGATGGCGTGTGGGAAAACAAAGGAGAATGTATTGTATGTAGCAGGAAAGATACTGTCCCACCTGATGAGAAGAGCAATGGATGAGATAAAATATTTCCCTAATGGAAGAGAGGAGAAAGTATAAGAATAGTTTTTAAAAATCTAAAGAAATTAGAAGATCAATGAAGCTAAAGCACAGTTAATTAACATTCTATAAAATAATTCTAAAAATGGAGGCAACAAACAAACAAAAATTTAACTTTGAAAATGGACTTTTGATCAGTACCAGATCTGGCATAGATCTAGCAGACTGCCTGCTCTTGTGCTATGCCAAACTTGGAGAACTTCGGGCATAGGGTTTTGGAGTTATGATCTTTTAAAACAGTTCCCCCATGCAGAAACAAGTGACCCTGAATGTCCCAAGATTTAAAACAGCTCATATAAATTGAAAAGATCAATCCACCCTCTTATTTTTATTTGGAAGGAATCTTGGCTACAAGGGCTGAAATAATGATCCTCATAAAGATCCTTTGTTGTAAGAGTGAGCATGTGTGGAAAAGGCTTACAGTACCAGCAAAAGTGCTGAAAAGTAGATACACTTTTGCAGCATCATTGACAGAGAGATGTTTGGAGAGCAATGAAAGGACACAGAAACAGTCAAAAGACAGGTTTTCTTTGAAAAGTAAAGAAAAAGAGGCTGGTTTTTAAGAAAGAAATGGAATGACAGTCCTCAATAAAGGGAGAGGTTTTGCCATGTATCTCCAGGGAATTAGCATACAATTTTATAACGCATATTCAAAGTATTTCTGCATTACAAAAGCACAGAGCATTTGTTACTGTTTTTTGCTTTGTTTGGGTTTGGTCTTACTTGATGATATGTGAGCTTTGATGTCTATATCCTGTCATAGTTTCAACCACTCCACTTGTTTTGTCAGTGTACAGTTGTCTGGTAATTAAGGGAAAAAAACTCCGAAGATGTTATATGCAATCAAGCTACTTTCAATTTATAGTGATTATATGAGTTAATGACCTCCACAATATCATATCACAAACAACTCTGCTCAGATCTTGCAAACCAACTGCATCTCATGTTAGATTGTTCTTACTATTGCTCCCCTTCCTAGCGATACTGTCTTTTCTAGTAAGTTCTGTTCAAGTCATGTAAACTAACAGCTATGGCTTCCTTTATTGGGCCTATTTGTGTCATATTGAGTCTTCCTACTGCCTCCTACTTTTCCCAGCAATATTCTCTTTTCTGGTCAGTTCTTTATTTTCACTATATGCTCACAGTAGGATATGCTCAATAAGGGTTGTTATAAGTCAGTTTTGACTTGACAGCAAAGAGCATACACACATATGGTCATGTTTGCACTGAGAGTTCAGACTTGACTCGATTGAGGACTTGCCATTCTGCCTGTTTGTGGTATTGGTAAAGCTCTCCTCCAATACAATTCAGATGAGTTAATTTTTGTCCCTGTCTTGTTTCCGTTTTCCTTTCACACAATATGGATGATTTTTGACCTTAGTTTCCAGTGACAGTCTTTGATAACTCCAATCTATCCCCTTCCCCACTTTTTTTTCATAAGGCAACAGGACAACTTTTGGAAAGCATGCTAATGTGTTCATAGAGCTTTTGGTCCTCTATAGCTTTTCTTTCTCAGCTTGCCCCCCTCAAGGAAAGGGTTTGAAAACTGGAACATGGCTTTCTAGTCTGCATTATGAGGTTACGTTTCCACTGGAGTATGTGTGTAGTGTATATACATACTTAAACTTCTGTTTTTTAAAAAAACCAGGAAATTCAATTCTTCCAGAAAGAAACCCACCTCCCAGTTTATTAATGTGGCCACAATTCAAACGCCAGGAAATGGCCCAATATTGTTGCACAATATTGTGTCCACATTGCCAGCATAAAAAAAGGATGTTAAGCTATATATAGCAAAGGGCAGCCTGACTACCGACAATACCAAAGGCAGCAGTCAAGATGGTCTAAAGGATTTCCTTTTATGATCACTCCTATTCACAAAGTGACATCATGCAAGGGGAAGTCCCAAAAGTTTATTCCTATATTCATATGTTAACCTCACCCAAACCCAAAGCAATTTTCAGGGCTGTTTTTTGACAAGCATGAATGGGAGTGGACACAAGTGTCAACGCTATGAAACATGGTAAGGACATAACATCACATGCTTATTTGTGGTTTAGAGTACATCACTTGATTCAGAGTTAGTATGTTGTTTGGGATACATTCACAGGGGGGAACTCGGTTGATAAGTGACTTACTTAGAGTATATAAGCTTATCAAGGGCAGAAGGGATAAGTATGGAGTACTGAACGTTGGTGAGAATGCTTTGGATTGGCTGAGGAAGGAAAGGAGGAGAAGAAAGGAGAGAGAAGGTCTGAGAGAGTTAAACTGAAAAGAGTGAGGTTTAGGAATAAAACCATGTTGTACTGAAATTATTCCTGCAATAAAAAGTGACTTGATTTAGTTCAAGCCAAGTGGTACTGCATGTGGATTATCTATGCACTGCCTTTATGGTGGGAATGAGAAATGCTAGAGCAAGAGCAGTAAAAGCCAAAACATTCATGGCAGTGATCAATGGAGTTTGTGGAAGACTGTAGAAGAAAAGAATATTAAAATACATTTATAAACTTGTAAATTGTGGCCAAACTCAGGTTTAGTACTGGAAGTGGCAACTTAAAAAGAGAGGTGGGAAATACAGTGAGTGACATCTTGTAGTGTGACATCTGTATTTTCATAATTCGTTCTACAAACTCATACGCAATGAACAAATAAGCTTAGGAGACTTTGATGAGTGTCACCAAGCCCCTCCAGCTATTGTTTTGAAGTCAAAGGACTTTGTCTAGTACCAGGAGAATAAGACATTGTTAAATTTTGTACATAAGTATTAGCACCAACACTAAACACACAAGGATTTATGTGGCCATTTTTATTTTTAAAAAGACCGTTCGGATTGAAACAATATATTTATAATATTACTTTTATAATATGAAAATTATTTAGGACTTCCTGACACATTACATTATGGGGCTCAGTGCATCAATTAAGATGATGCCCCACTATATTATACCCCAACAAATTATATCACTTTGTATAGTCCAATACATGAACATGGAGGAGTGAGGTACACATAGTAAGCTGTCACACCATTGGACTTACTTGCTACTTGACAATTACAACTGCCAAAGGATTAGTTTCAAGTATGTGAGCATTCAAAGAAGGAAATGCTTTTAAAGTCTGGAAACTGCTCACTCCTGAATATTCATACATTAAGTGACCAAGTGATATAGTATTGCAATATATACTTCTTTGTAACATGTAAACAAGTCCTTCAGCATGAATGCTTGCTGAGTCCATGCATTTTATTTACAATAAACTCTGCTCAGATAATTTCCTATACTGTAATATACAGCATTTCTTTCATCCTGTTGGTTTTATTTGCTTTTCAGTAGAAAAGTCATCCATGATTTTCCAACAGGACAACTTCTCCATCTCCCTTGTATGGCTCAGATGAAAGTTCATTTTCTAAACAGTCACCATAAATATTACCCTAGTACCTTAACACCACTAAGATCAGCCAATCAATGACTGAATACACAGTGTATTCAGAGCAGCATGGAGCACATAAAAACAAAGGTACTTGGACATATTTCAAAGTAGCCCACCAACAATCTGGTAATTACCTATAATTTAAGGTATCAAAGTTATAAACTTTCTTGTGATTTCCAACATAAACCAGCAACATTGCTCGAAAACACAGAATAACATTTGAGGAAAAACTGATACATTTTCCTCTTTGTCGTGCTATTTCTTCCCATCTTTTTTCCTGCTGTCTTGGGGCATAGGGACTTCCTAGTGCTGAATGTCTGTCTTGTTAGATCATGCGACGGTCAAGTACTGATGATAGAAGAGCCCAAAAAGGCTTGTGGAAAAAAGACAAGCAGCAATCCACCATGTCAGAAAAGACAGGAGTCCTCTGAATAAGAGTGGAGTGAAAATGTTCTTCAAGCTAGCCAGTGCCATTGTTAGCTGTATTACAGTTACCTTCATCTTTCCATCATCAGATGAAGGTTCAGAGTTTAGTGAACTGCTCTGTGGACTGTTTTCCATTGGTAAATCTGAAGATGATTCTGGATAAATGCCCCAGGAGTAGTTACCTATAAAAAGAAAACAAATGGGACCTTAAAACCTATACAGTGGTGCCTCGCATTGCGATGTTAATTCGTTCTGCAAAAATCGCTGCAGAACGAAAATGTTGCTATGTGATATTAAAAAGCCATAGAAACGCATTGCAACCCCTTCAATGCATTCCTATGGGCTTAAAACTCACAGTTCAGCGAAGATCCTCCATAGCGCAGCCATTTTTGCTGCCTCTTAAGCGAGGAATCCGTCCCTAAACACAGCGGGCGGCCATTTTGTTTACCTGGTGGCCATTTTGAAACCGCCGATCAGCTCTTTTAAAATCATCGCTTTGCGATGCTCGGTTCCTGAAGCAGGGAACTGAGCATCACAAAGGGAAATTCCCCCATAGGGAACATTGAAAAGCGATCGCTTTTGCGATCACAAAAAAATGTGTCACAAAGCGATTTCATCACTAAACGGAGCGATCACTATGCGAGGCAGCACTTCATACAACTTTTCTTGAATCATTTTATTACCAGCTTATGAGTAGGGGTATGTTTGGTTTTCTGTAAAAACTAGAATCTATTTTTCATAACTAGAGAAAATGGAAGCCATCTAAATCTTAAGATTTAAGGTACAACATTTACTTATAATTGTTTTTAGAGTGCTTTTAAGAGAAATCAAGCCCATCCCCCACAGTATGTGAACCCTTCAAAAGCTGCTCTCTATTCTATAGTTTTACTCAAAAATCATTAACACATTAAATGCTTCCACTGTTTTTGAGCAAGAACTGGCCTAATAACTATCTCTGTATAATATGTTCCAACTAGACAGATAGAGGTACACAGGAATGCTCATTTTGCCATCTCTTTCAAGAAACCTGAACAAACAACTAATAACATTTTAACAAGCAGAGTATTAATGAGCAGGGTGGGAGGTTTGCATTTATTTGGCAGTTCTCACCTAAAGTTTTCAACAGTAGAGTCATGTGAAGCAGCATAACCAGAGGTGCCACATACTGAAGTGCAATTATACAGAGATAATAAAACACTCTGGCCACCTGAAGTCACAAAAAACAAACAAACAAACAAACAAACAAAGATTAGTCATGGTGTAAAGATAATATAATGATAATATATAATAAAGATATATAATATATAGTAAAGATAATATACTTCAGCAATTATACCTAGCAACACAGCAATCCACAAAGTTCTAACTATCACCACTACAGTTTCAGGAATGGTACAGGAAGAAGCTGATTTTTTAATGTGAAATGCTTTTATTCATTCACCGTGGGAAATACATAGCATAAACATCTGTATGTAAGGCAGCCTATAGAATTACAGAACAATTCTGCAATGCAATTTCATACCTAGTGGATGCTACCACCTTCATAAGAGGATGGAGGGGCATTTTTGCTTGTGGACTGGTACTTCCCATATTCTGGTGACCTTTTTCCTTAGCTGGTGAAGGCAGTCACAGAAAAAGTAAGCCTGTTTCTGCCCAAAAATAGACTTTGTTTTATTACAAAATATGTGGTTTTGATTATCATCCATTCCCTATGTCTCAGATGGAAAAAAGTAACACACACATTTAGTTAGTATGTGGGCAGCTATTTGTAGGGTATAGTCACAGGTTTGCTTGAGCACAACTAAAGCTTTTACATTTTTAAAATGTCATAAATGTGAAATAGTACTCTTTTATATGCAAAGCTTTCAACAAATTTTAGATAGCTAGAACATTAAAATAATTGTAGGTTTCATATGAAAATAGATATTGCATTTATTTCTATTCCCACCTACCCACCCATTTATTTTTCTGACCCAAGAAAAAACATGTTTTTTCCTCATAGCTTTAAAAAATCCAGAATGTTTATATCTTTCAGGGATAGAGCATAGAAATTATATAAAAGCACGTTTTGTGAGTGCCACCAGATCTTCTGCCACCTCCCCTTCCTACCAGCCCTTTACACCATAGCCCACATCACTCAACATGCTTCTCTACGTCTTCACACATTTTTAGGTAGCTTAAAAGCAAAAGATGAGAAAGGCTGCTTGTGCCTGTCACCATGCACTTGCAGATATCTAAGTCTAATCCCATGTAATGTTTTCACTGTAAAAGACAGCTGTGGATCTTGAGATGTTGGCCACAGAGACTGGTGAAACGTTAGGAAGAACCTTCAGAACACGGCCAAAGAGCCCGAAAAACCCACAACAACCATGTGGATCTTAACTTTGCTCTAAAACTTTAAAAAAGTGAATGCATCATTTCTATCAAGACTGTTTCCAATTTGTGTACTTGCTTGCTTAAATAGCAATTATGCCACAAAGGGCAAATAAATAGCAAACTATACCATCTGAAACTAGTTCTCCAAGCAGATGATGCAGAGCAACTTATTATCAACTTCAGTGGTTTCTCTGTGTTCTTTGGCTGCTAACCATTTACAGTGACGCCTATAATTTCCAACCTATCATGTAGTTAGTTGTACTGAAAGTAGGAAAGGTAAGATAAGTTTCTTAGGCTTCTCTCTCAGTTCAGCCATGGCCCTAATTTATCCAAACTGAGAGCAGTAAATCTATTGCCGCTCCAAACTGCTTTTCTGGCACAAATACAGTACATAATTACATATTACTTTATCATGTTTTGGCTGGAATCATATGGAATGACACTGGAGGAGGAAATAGAAAACAACTGTTGTGAGCTTCAGCAAAGAAAGGGTGCAACTGTTTTCCAAAGAAATATTTTATGCTCCCTGACAACACCCCTCAACATGCAGCACCAAAAATATTTCACATTCAATACTCAGTACAATCCCACCACTCCATTTTCCAAATCTCTTTGTATTCTAAGTTTCGGAAACAAAAATGAAACTATGCATAACTGTATTTAGACAAACATCTGGCAATTCAATTGTTTTGAAATATCATTGCTTTACACACACCTGCTTTGCAGAAGAGGGTAGTTTAGAAGTAGAACCATTCAGAAGAGATCTACAGGAATATTCCTAGGGGCTAGTGAAAGATGAACTAAGCAGTGATATTGCCAGAGGCTTAAAAGCAGTTGAAGTTGTAATATCAGAGTTTCTGCATAACACTTCAGATTGCACTTCAGACTATTAAAACAAGAAAGTTCATCCTTATTTTTAATGAATCAAAACAGCATCAGCTAGTTCACTTCTATACTTGTTTAATGTTTGTTAGGCTTACCATTTTCTGCAATTCAACTGTACTTATTCTGCCAACTTCTTTTTTCATTTGATCCACACACTTCTGTGCTAAATTCAGATAGGCTTGGAGATTATTACGCATCATGGCTAACCTCAAAGCACACAGGAGAATTATAACCCACAGCCTTAAAGTATCAAATGTAGCTTCTGACATTCTGTAAGTTTTGAAAAAAGGAAAAGAGTTTTCCAATGTTCATTCAAAACTATGAACCAAGTATTCTTAAACTGCTGGAGTGGTAAAAGGGACAAAAAATTCCACAGAGTAAAAGAGGCCCTTTAACAATTCTATTTGTGCACTGTTTGAACACTATGGGCATTCAAAGAAACATTAATATTGTAAACAACCTGGGGTGGAAATACAGTGAACTCCAGTTTAACATTTCTACTACCATAGTTTTCTAAGACACTGAGTGTGATAAAAAAATCAAAATATAAATGGGTCATGAGTCATTTCTCTCTATCCACTTGTCAACTGAATGCAAAAGAGATTGATTAAGGCCAATTCTAAAATTGCATGGTATTCTGAACAGGTATTGGAGAGTTTTAAGGTTTGTATGACAATCTCATTATCTCACATACTTTAGTTTAATGAAGAATCAAAGAAATATATCTTCCAAAAATATTCTTTATGTTACTACAGTGGACCCCTGACTTACGAAGGTCCCTACTTACGAAAATTTCAAGGTGCGAAAAGCTTTGGCCGCAAAATTTTGGTTCGACTTGTGGCCGGAGCTTCGACCTATGAAAGGCAGGAGGAAAGGGCGGTATCCTCTGAAGATGCCGGCCACAGAGACTGGCGAAACGTCAGGAAGAACAACCTTCAGAACATGGCCAAAGAGCCCGAAAAACCCACAACCACCATTAGATCCCGGCCGTGAAAGCCTTCGCGAATACAAGCCAGGAGGTGTTAGTACAAAGTATGGAAGGCAGAGCAACATATATGGGCAACACAGAATGCCATTCTAGGCACTATACTCTGTGATTTGTGTCTCACTGTATGTCAGTTGCTCTCCTTACTGCCAAACGGTTTATTCTCTGGCTTGATCAAAGGTAGAGGTAATGGAGGAGACAGAATGTCAGGGATGACACAGAGAGGAATAGTAGGGAAGAACAGATGTACATGAAAGAACAGGAACATGCAAGAGAGTATGTGGATATATGTGTATCCCAGAAAGATGGTGTACAAATGTATTTAATAAATATGAGAAAGCATATTTCTTAATGAAAGAGCATGAACACAATAGGGACAGACACAGTGTAAAGAGGAGACAAAAGGATGCTTCTGTATATGTGTGTGAGAGAGTATAAACAGGTTATAGACTGATGAATGAATAAAAAGTGGGGAGAGAAGTGGTGGCCTCACCTCTATTGGCTTTGGCCCCACACAGTGTCAGTGTGCAGTCCTCATCACTTTCCCAGTTTCCAACCACTCTTTAAAAGACAAGGCTTTGCAACCTATTAATGTAGCTACAATGGCATTATGTTTTAAACACAAAGCATGGTATTATTTTACAGTGTAGATCTTCAAAAGCAGCTTACAAAGGCACATTCTCTTTTCCCAATGGTGGATTCATTATGTAGTCCTTGGTGATGGGTTTTACCCACAATAAGACCATAAGTAGGGGTGCCAGGAAGTTTATATGCAACAGCATTCTGAAAGTTGAAAATGGAAACAAAAATCAATACACAATAACTCTTACAGAATGTACGATAATTGGGTTTCCAAACTGTTTTGTACTGAAAGCAAGGAAAAAATAAACTATATAAATATAAACACCAGGGTTTTATAGAACTGTTTGAAAAGCACTTCCTCAACAGCAACATGAACACATGTTTCTTAAAGGAGCAAAATATAACTGCTTTGTATTATACTCCTTTATGAACCACACAGTCATGTTTCTGCTGGGGAAATGATTTTCATACAATTCCCCACATCACAGGTGTTCTTTGGAACCTTGCTACAGGTTCTTCAGGGAGAAGACAAAAATGACAGACTAGCTTTCCAAACACCAGGTGTTACCAGTACCAGTCTTGTTCTACAATGTGGAACTGCAGGGAAGTATTGGATGTGTTCTAGGATTTACTGTCTATTTGAATAGGACAACAAGGGTGAAGAGATGCAGAGAGCACTCCATGTGAGCTGAGTGTGTGTCTAAAAATATGTCATGCAATGCTCCACAACAATGCAGGATCTCTATAATATGAATGTAGTAATGCACAACCCAGGAGATACCACAAACCAACAAAATGAACCAAAGATCAAGATAACAGGGAATTCTAGTTTTAAGGCAAACTGTGCCCCCTTAATTCCTTAGTCCTAGGCATTTCTAAATTACAGCTGATTCAGTGGGGAAGGAAATAACACGGTTCACTGGTAGAAGAGCTAAAACAACTCCAATCCAAGTATCTTACAGGAAGGAATTTGATATGGAATAAAATTTAAAACAGAAAAACTGTTGAAGTAGCAAACAATGCATCTATAATTTGAAAGAATGGAAATTATATAAATAGAAAGGGTACCTGATATAAGAACAGTTAACTTTCCCCTTGAATTTCTGCATGTAAATCCAGCCCATGTGAAAACGGTAAACAAAGTGCTGTTGCTGAATGTCATCTTTGACATTTCACATAAATAAACCACCTTATCCAAGGTGACCCTGCTAATGCAATCCATGCTGGGCTATCAATAGGGCTGGATGCTTGTAAGTGGTCTTACATGGATTCCAGCATATCATTTCTGAAATCTCTATCATTTCCATCTTGTTCACAATTTAGCAGAAATAATGTACGTTTAGGAAACTACTGCCTTATTACTCCCATAAAGCATACTTAAGGCTCACCCACAAAATCCACAGTTCTGAGCTCCCATCTTAAAGCAGCTCAGGCCACTCAACATTTGCTATGGTCCATCAAAGTCAAACTGTTCCATCCTTATAGTAAACTTCTTCCATGTTATCCCTTTCCACTCTGTTTATTAAAAATACTGAAGAGATTTTGAAATGAAGCTCCAGTGTATGTTTGGCATGCTGACTTTATATGGAAATACCCAGAAAACACCAACAAGCAGTTTGGCTGGAAAAGTGGCACACTGCTTACAAAACAATTACAGTGGTGTCTCTCTAGATGATTGCCTCGTGGGACGAAAAACCCGCAAGACTATTGGTCTTTGCAATCACTATGGTGCCTCGCAAGATGTTTTTTTTCTATGACCGTGCTTCGCAAGACTTTTTTTTTGAGACCGATGCTTCGCAATACTTTTTTTTAGACTAATGCTTCGTAAGACTTTTTTTTTGAGACCGATGCATAGGGAACCTCGCAAGAAGATTTTTTCACAGGGCAACGATTTTCGCGGAATGAATTAAAATCGTCTTGCGAGGCACTACTGTACTACAGATATGATACAGTTTCAGTCTAGTTATGTATTACATAGTCTAGCTTACTGAGTGATTTTTTCAGTCGTTAAACTCAAAGCATCCAGATGCATCTGAGCCAATCTCAATCCAGGGAATGTCAAAAAAGCACCAATAAATGAACAAAGGATAGCCAGAAAGAGTTTGAATGTTAATTTAGAAACAGGACCCCTGCGGAAAAAGCACAACAAAGAAAGAATGATAGTCAGCTTTCTGGACATTTTAAGGATAAGACATGTATTCTTCTCTTTTGTTTCCAACAAAGCAAGCAAGAAAGGAAAGCACACACACATGCACACACAGTGTTCATGTTCTCCTTCCTGTTGTGAGGTTTGTAGCTAGAAAACTGGGAGCAAAACCATCAGGAGGTTTGACTCTGTTACAAGTCTGGATTCCAAGCAGGGTTACCCAAGGCAGAATAGTCAAAGCTGAGAGATCAGACTAAGATGCATCTATCCTTTTGAAGAATTAATGGTTACACCTGCAGAGAACTGATAATTCCAAGTTGATGAGGGCAGATACATTCCTGAAGAGCAGTCACTGGAAATGGTAGTAATGGAAGAAGACACTGCAGAGAATCTTTCATAGACAACAATGACAAATTAAATCTTGTTAGTACTACACAGACGAAGCAACTGTAGTTCTTGAAGATAGTCCAAATGAAAATGAGGCAGTGCTGGAAGATGACACTCCCAGGTTGGAAGGCATTCAAATCAGCTTGTGGGAGAAAGCAAAGTATAAATAACACTGTTGGTAATAAAATCCAAAAGGGCATCCAGCTGCAGAAGTGTAAAGAGGCAAAAGGAATGTCAATGACATGTGTGGCATACCTGGAATATGAAAAGTATGAATCAAGGCAAGCTTAAAAATTGTAAAACAAGCAACAGAACATATACAGACTGTAATATGTGGCAAGAACAAGCTAAATTGGACTGGGATAGGACCATTTCAATGAGATAATTACAAAATGTTTCACTCTGGGAATGAATTTTTGAGGGTCAATAATGTAGACAGAATAATGTCAATTACACTTCTGGAAAGCTTATTAACATAACCATCATTCAAGTCTATGCCCCAGCTGCAGAAGCTTAAGAAAAAAAAATTGAAAACTTCTATGCAAGTGTTCAGGATGAAACTGTTTGCACACCAAAAATGATATATTGTTACAGGTGACTTGAACACAAAACAAGTAAAGCAGAATCAAACACAGATGTAGAATGTGGACAAGAATTAGAAATGAAGCACACAAATTACTCAGAAATTTGTGAAGCTAACAGTTTGTTTGTTTGTTTGTTGCAAATACATATTTCAAGTGACCTGACAGAAAATATACATTTGGATGTCACTGGATAGATACAGGTAATAAACAGAATGGAATGGAACAGAACAGAATATATTCTACATATAATTGGAAGCAAAATCTCTATTCTGTCTGCATAAACAAGACCAGAACCTACAGAAGCAAGATCTAGGAAGAATATGCCAATAAATATGTAAAACAAAACAATGGCCAAAAAAAGAGAGGAGACATCAAAGATTACAATAAAACTATCACATTAATTTACCGTGGAAGCAACGTTCAAGATTTTACAGCTAAGACTTTTAGAGTATGTGGAGTAAGAGAAGCCAGATGTTGAAGCTGGATTCAGAAGAAGAAAAAGCACTAGAGAGCATATAGCAAATATACCTTGGCTACTGGAGTGCACTAACACATTTCAGAGGAGTATCAGCCCATGTGTCTTCTGCTGATGTAACCATTTGTTTTCTAAAAAGGATGGGTGCATCTTAGTCTGATCTCTCAGGTTTGACCATTCTGCTTTGGGTGACTCTGCTAGGAGTCCAGACTGCAATGAAGCGTGTCACCATGTGAGTCACAAAGAGCTATAGATCATTCTAAAAGATATGAGTTTTTCATGACCTCTGACTCGACTGACGTGTAATTCATAGATTTGCTGTTATGTTGTATATCTGCGAAATTACAATATCAATAGGAGTTTAGGAAAAAATCTTGAGGGGAAACTGCTCAATAAGGACTCAACATGCGTTTTCACCCTTGCCTACTGCATGAAAAATTGAGAACTTGGCAAGAGAATGGTAGGGACAATCTAGAAAGGGGCATGACCTGTTGATCGCAATTTTAAAGAAAAGCATGCCATATTGCCACAGACCGGAAACAATTCTTCACACAAACTACCTTACAATATTTGTTATGCGACTTACAATCTTGATACATTTCTTTCATATTGTGCTTATGGCCATGGCCAAAAACAGCAGTGTTAGGGCACTGTGATTCAGAAAAAGGAAGGATTCCTGTACTTACAGTAGCTACATCAAAATGAGAATTTCAGCAGGTATAGTATGTTACACTGGGGTCCTTTCTTCATTTGCATTTAGTCAGTTTTTCTCTACACAAAGCATGAATTTATAATCTAATTCCAAATTATGAGTATCTATTTAAAAAGCACTTGATATATTATACTTTTTAACAGCTGGCACTATTTCTTTTAAATGAAGTTTTGAAAGAGTGAAAACCAGAAAACATTGTCTTATGTTCCAGGAATCTGAGGTCTCCTAGCCAGACCTGTTAGGCACACAAAAGAGGATCTTCACTTTCTGTCAAGAACAGCTGGCCTATTGCCACTTCAGAAATGTTTTCAAAAAGCTCCAGAAACAGCTTAATATGAAACACAACTACTGTTCCACAGAAAATGTAATGGGTTATGTTCTGTTTGTCAGCTCTACCAGGTATGCCTTGGAATGAAAGTCCTTAAAAAGCACCAAAGTCCTTAAAAATAATACAGCCTGAACTACAAGGCAGCATGGATAACATTGTGATAACACAGTACTTACTGTTATACAATTGTGTTTTATACTTACTGGGATTCCAAGCCTTGTTTTTCAAAAAACTGCACAGCGCTTTCTGAAAAATTTGAGAATCCTGTAAACAGGGTGATGGGGGGAAAGGAGGAATTTCAGAAGGTGAATGAAGAATTTCAAAATGCTACCAGAGAATATTTTAGCACTGGTTGCCAGCTTCTTGATTAGGGTTGTTTCCCTTCAATCACTGCAATCAGTGATTCACTTATAAACTAGCTATACTTCTGACAGGATCCCTTTGTTAGCTATGCATGTGTGAAATAACTATCTGCATAAGCAACATATGCTGATAACCATAATCTTAGAATCGAAGAGTTGAAAGGGACCCTATGGATCATCGAGTCCAATACCTGTCAAGGAGGCACTCTCCCAACCTCTGGCTTTACAGCCAGAGACCTAACGGCAGTGAGCTTAAAGTACAGTACTCTGGGCAGTTTAGAATTTAATTATGCAGACGACACACCCACCCACAGAGAAAGCTGGGCACTCAATTTACCAATCTCAGAAGAATGGAAGGCTGAGTGAACCTCAAGTCAACTACTGTACCTCGGATTGAGCCCAGGTCACAAGCAGAATTTAACTGTTCTGGACTACAACTTAATACTGTAAAAAATCGCCACCAACTCCATGCATCTGAAAAGGTGGGCTACAGTTCATGAAAGTCCACGCCAAAGAACAATTGCTAATATTAAGGGGTACTAAAGTCTGTTGTATTTTTTACTATCTCCTTAGAAATTCCCTAGGGAGGGTTCTATTTTACATATGCTGTTTAAATTGACATGCTACTGTTCAAATACAATGTTTTAAGATATTACCTGATTCAAGTCCAAACTCTAGATAGTTTTCTGTTATGATTAAAATTGCCATGGCTTTCACAAAGAAAAAAAACCCGAAAGTTACACAGACTGATCTTTCACCACCCTCTTCTACTTTGAAATAGTGTGTAGTTAATGAGAACAGTATTTTTCTACATAGGAAAAGTCAAGGAAAAAGTCAGTTTCATAAAATCCTGCAAAAGATATTGAATTCTATAGTCATCATCTGAATCCAAATCCATAAGCCAAAATGACAGAAGTCACCTGTGGGGCAATCAGGGGGGTCAGGTGGCTTCCTGTTTTCCATACAGAATAAATCTGGATAAATACACAAGCACATGATACACTCACTGATGAAGTTGTGAAGAAAGAGACGAGCTGCTTTACATCCAGGAGGACATGAACTTGGGTTTCATGTAAAAGCAGTTTCAGTATGCCACCCAGACCACTGCTCTTTAAACAGAGGCAGCTTTGAAAAGCAGTTAGTCGGATATTAAATGGTAGACAGAGGAAAGGAATTTTATATGGGTACCCACAATGGCTCTTCAGATCCCAAGTATTACACAGAAATAAATTCCACTTAAAGAAGTCTACAACCAAAGACTCGTTCAGCAATTGCATATGAGATGATCATAACCACATTTCACTTTGCTTTCACACAATAATCATTAAGCTCTTTACATCTAATATCAAAACTTCAGTAGGAAACAAGGAAAATGAATTTTTGTCTAGTTGGATATTCAATTTCACTTATTTAAAAGAAACTGAATATTAAGCAGATCTATTAGCTAATTATGGTTTTCAGTCTTTCTTATCAGAAACTACAGAATTTAACAACTTCATTTACAGAGGCTTTACACAAAAATGTGACTTGAGACAATGATCACTGCTTTTTTTCTTTCTATAATTAATCACACTAGCATCATTTCCAGAAGACTTTAACATACTGTAAATTATCACATAAAGGGGGTCTTCGTGTTTTTAAAATCAAGAGAACATTGTTCATCAATTAATGCAGTTGTTCTATTATTACAGAATTTTTAATCCAAAGTCATTTCTCAATAACTTTTAACAAGCACATTTATCAAATCATCAGAGTCCATAATTTAGGTCTGTTGTCATTCCACACACCTTAATTCAGATATAGAAGAAAAAAACATGCTATATGGTTTAGGGATATTCTAGTCCATGAATAGTGTGCTAGAAACCACTTTCCATATATGCATTTATACATAATCTCATCTCACAGTGTGGCATTTTATTTGTTTATCCAACCTAAGATGGATAAACTTTCACATCTTACACTGATTAAACACCTACTTTGTTTCTTTTAACTTTATCAGCTTCAGAGATTCCAACACTTTGCACTAAACTCCAATCTCACCTACTTATTCCCATTCTGCTATCTCACCCACCTCATTCCCATTCTGCTGTGCCTTATCAGGCAGATAAGTGGTTTTAATAACTGTTTAGCAAGGCAACAACAGGTATTTGTCGTTTTAATTGCAGAATTTTACAAAACCTGTCAACATACAAACTGCAAAACGACACATTATATCATAGGTTCTTAACCTCTGTTCTGTGCCCCCTGAAGGCCGCAATATCCTCACAGGGGGTCTGCAAAGGCTTGAAGAAATGTTATGATTTTTTGCAGTTAAAATAGAAAGAATAAAAGAAAGCAAGAAAGAAAATGAAATGTAGAACAAAATCTTAATATCTCTTGCCATTTGTGTAAAACTTGGCTTTTCTAAGCTACCACATCCATTAAAAACAAACAAAAGTAAAAACCGGTTATAAAAATAACTGTTCAATAGTAAATCACTGTTTGATATTTTTGCAAATGGTGAGAACATGCAAGTGAATGATACTGAGTGGCTGAGAGGCAGCATATGACATTTTCTGCTACTGCGCAGACTGTCAGAAGTCACAGGAAGAGAGTCGGTGTCAGTGTATGTTTGGGTGGACTTCATGATCATGTTTCTTCTTTGATTTCTGCTAATAAAAGTGTTTGGTCATTATTGGGTAAATATTATCACAGTGAATTTTGTAACAATATGTTTGGTCATTATTGGGTAAAGTGACTTTTCAATATTATCACAGTGAATTTTGTAACAATACATTCTGGCTGAGCCTCAGAATGGATAGCTGGCTGAATTTGAAATGTAGATGAGTGCATGCTATTCAAAGCAAAATGAAGTTTCTTCCAATCATCCTTAAAAGTGTCACCATTATAGCAAGGAATATCTGTTGATGAAACCCTTCATGAGAAAATTTAAATGAATATTTGATGCACTTTAGGATTTTATATCTCGAGTTTAGTCTTGGTGATCTGCATCCACAAAATATATTTAAAAGGGGTCCATGGTAAAGAAAAGTCTAAGAACCGCTGCCTTAAATCTTTAAAATAATGGATAGCAAATGTTTGGCCCTTGAGACGGTGTGGACTTCCATAATATTTTACTGCTAAGATGCTGGTTGGGCTGATGTGACTTGAAATTTAAAGCAAAAGTGTGCTGCTTATATACCACCCCTTAGTGCTTAAAGCACTCTCTGAGTAGTTTACAATTTACTGTAATTATGCAAGCTATACACTGCCTCCTCTTCACAGTGAGCTGGGAACTCAATTTAGCAACCTTAGAAGGCTTGAAGGCTGAGTTAAGGCTACCTGTTGTGATCAAATACAGGTCATGAGCAGAGTCTTGACTGCAATTTTGCAGTTTAACCACTGGGACAGGAGGATCCTTAAAATTTAAAACAGTTGGAATGCCTAAGATTCCTGATTTGCAGCTTAGCGCACTGTTGACTGACTTCTCAGCATTTTTATACACAGTTCAACCATATTATTTGCTTAATAGCTTCAAATAATCATGATTATATAACTGTCATAAATATTTGTTTATTCATCAAAAATGCAGAAGCATTTATATTTTCTTCCTTTCCATAAGCTGATATTTTACCCAATATGATGTCCCAAGGTTTTTGAAACTATGTTTCTTATTGTTGTCATTTTGCTGGATTTATTAAACCTTTTAAAGAAGACTCTTGCTATTGTTAATGCATACATAATAATATACATGTGGGACGTGGTGGCACTGCGGGTTAAACCGCAGAAGCCCCTGGGCTGTACGGTCAGAAGAGCAGCAGTAGTAAGATCGAATCCACGCAACGGAGTGAACTCCCATTGCTTGTCCCAGCTCCTGCCAACCTAGCAGTTCAAAAGCATGTAAATGCGAGTAGATAAATATGTACCACCTTGGTGGGAAGGTAACGGCAGTCCGTGTCTAGTTGCGCTGGCCACGTGACCATGGAAACCGTCTATGGACAAACGCTGGCTCTACGGCATGAAAACAGGGATGAGCACCGCACCCTAGAATCGGACACGACTGGACTAAATGTCAAGGGGAACCTTTGCCTTTACCTAATAATATACATGCAAAAGGATAATTACGGTATCTCCCAATGCTATTATTCTGCATTTTGTTTGTTTTTGATCACATAGCAGGCATAAGAGTTCACAGGGTTTGTTTTGTCATTTACCTAAGAAGGTTATATCTCATTAATTTCCCTGCAAGTGCACCGCATTTAACAAAACCTTTAAAATCCTAACAACTGTGACATGTCCATAAAATAAGGAATTAACCATAAAGGCTAACACGTCAATGGGGGCTGTAAGGATTTTTAACCATATACTTTTTAAACAGCCCAGTTTTTAGATACTGTCTAAAAGAGAGCAGTGTTGCAATCTGATCAATCTCTGCTGACAAAGTATTCCACAAGGAGTGTGCTATCACTGAAAAGGCTTCAGTCCTTCCCCAGTGACACATGCTCAGAAATCATCTCAATCAGCTACAGTGTGAGGCCAAAGAGAACCATTCCTGTTTTCTTATTCATTTTTGGCTTTTGAAAGGGATTGAGCATGTAAGGACAAGATGACAAACAGAATAGTTAAGATTTGAGGAAAAGAAAATGAGAACTAGTGAGAAAAAAACCCTTTTATATAAGGATTTCATTGCGTATTCTATTTCAGAGTTAGCAAATGTCTTATTTTAAGCGAGTGCCTCCCCAAACCATCAAGAAAATGCCAAGTAACAGCTTAGAACAATCTATATAGCCATAAGCAAATTGACTTTTCCTTCATTTCTCTGCCTAAACTCCACAGTTAAGATTTTTCCAGGGTCTTCTTTTTGACAGCAAAGCCTACAGATACGCAGAAGTTGGCCCATGCTGAGATCTTTCTACAAAGGAGAGGAAAATTACTATATATAGATTGCTGCCAGTGGTATTCCTCTACAATAGCCACCAGCATTCAATAGCTTCTTTTAGTATATGTCATTCATAACTATGACTTCTGCTGCAGGCTGTGCCATATGGGTCACTACAGACAGAAAACCTAATTTTATTGCAACCCAATTATTTAGTGCACTTCTATTTAGATTCTACTAAAGAAACGGAATTCCAATTCTAAGTCCTATCTTAGCATGTTATGATTTGGTCTCTTAAAAACACTGCCTGTGTAAATAATTGTAACGTGTATTAAAGTTTGAAAACCATGCCCTCAATACAGAGTCTATAAACAAGGACAATTTTACAACATATTATGCCATTGTTTAGTAACCTGTTTTAACAGGTGCACTAAATCCAGATACCAGTATCCCACAGTAACTCTGAAGCAATCTTGATCCCTATGACTAAAAATATGTTTTATGCAACTTGTGCCAGCAACTATATGTTACCACAAGGAATATTTATCAGTCTTTGAGTAACAATGACTATTTGCAGAGCTAGGCAGAAGAAAATATTTCAAAACATGGACTGTTGGAGTGATAAACCATTCTGACGAGGAATGTGACACAGGGAACTCCTAAGATAAAACCTTTTGAAAAGCCAAAATTATCTAGAAGAAACCTAGGAGGGGTAGGGTTCTGATGTGTTGGCTTCATGTGTGATAGTCAATCACTTTTATCTTGAAGAGGCATAAGCAGGTAGTTGAATGACTTCAAAATTACTTCTCACTGGAGATGGGGGTATTTGTATGCAAATATACCCCCACAGGTGCAGATAACAAGGGTCCAGCCCCCTGAGGCCAGACCGACTATTCACGATTCTGCCGCGAGCTCCATGGAGCCTTCCTATCTCTCCATTGGTCGCAATGGATTAGCCACTCTACAACCCGGCAGAGAGGCTCGTCATCCTGCCTTCTGCCAGAACTGCCTAATCTATCGAAAGCAACAGAGTGATAGGAAGGCTCAGTGGAGCTCACAGCAGCGGTGAAATCATTAGTGGGCAGTCTGGCCCAAGGGGGCCAGACCCTCATTATGTGCACCTGTGGGGGGTATTCATATACAAATACCCCCATCTCTACTCCTCGCCCTCCACTTTCTTCTGGAAATGTTTGGCTTTTCAAAACGTTTTATATTTACAATCTTAGTGATCAAGATTGCTCTAGAGTTACTTGTTGTTACTTGTCTATATTATCCTTATTGTTAAAACAAGTTAACTAAACAATGGTATGGTATCTTGCAAAACTATCCCTGTTTATGAACTCTGTATCTGTCAAGGCCCCATGTGATATTACATGGGTACTGTTTAGGCAAATTTCAAAACTATCATTAGTATTATTCCACATCATCTATGGAAGTCAGCTATCCTTCAGGGGGGGAAAGGCAGAAACAAGACAGTAATCTCAGCAATATTTCAAGATTCCTCCTTTTCTTGAGGTTCCCAATGGATTCTCCACAACAAAATGAATCCCACGGGAGCCTCAGGACCTTAGCAGGGGGAATCAGAAATGTTTTATTTCCAAAACCTTGCCAATTCATCATCAGCCTTACACAGCATAAGCTTCACAATAGAATTTCCACACACATGGTATAGCAGATAGTGTCAGACTAAGACTCAGAAAAACTGGGCTTTTGGATGTTACTGGATTCCAGATCTTTTTAGCCCCAACCAGCATGACCAACGGGCAAAGATTATGGTCACTGTGATTTAACAACATCTGTACAACACAGGTTTTTCATCAATGGTTTAAAGAAATACTACTGCAATGTTTCCTGTTTCAATTTTTAAAAAGAAAATTACATCCTGAGATTCTCCCAAAACATAGGATCACCTTTTTGAGAAGATGAACCAAAAAGCCATGACACTATAAAAGGATACACTGCAAAAGCCAGAACAAGCAGACACCAGACTATGCTGATATTCATTTCCTGTGTGGGCTTCATCCAGTTGTAGTAGGCTTCAGTTACCAAATACACCACTGTAGCTGCAACAGTGAAGTCCACCAGCCACTGATACTCAGGAAAATAATGCAAGGCTGAAACATAAAATGGCCATTTGGTAACTGAAACATGCAGACTGAGAATTTTCAAAGATAACTTCTACAGCTGTGGTTTCTAAACATTCAAGCAGATGCAAGTTGTCCATACAGTCGTACCACAATTGTGGTGTGTTTTTTTTTTTAAATTATAAGCACACAACATTAGATTGCTGGGAAAACATATCACAATTTGAAACACATACAGATGCACACACAGCAGATGGGATTTCTAGAAAATAATGCTAGATTTGACATGGCAAGAGCTGAAATTCAAAAAGAAACCCTACTTGGTGTTTTTAAAAACAGTATTTCAATGAAAAAGTACCGAAGCAAAGCTAAAGCGAGAGTTAAAACACCAATGGATATTCAAATAATTTTTTTAAAAAAATCAGCTGAAGCCTTCAAATATGAACTATCTGGTTTTCAGGACTAAGCAAAGGTTTAGCTTAGGAAAAAGGCTTCTCAACCTATGGGACTTGAGAGTCAAGAAACCCTAACCCAACAAAAGATAACAGGAATAATGGCCAATTCTCATCAATTTAGAAAAAGTTAAAATTCAGCCAGGGAGAGGGTACTGAGAGCAACAGAAAAATATTTACATTTCCACGAATTACTAGTATCAGCAACCAGCATGAGGATGGGGAGATTCAGATCCAACATTTGGACCAGCCATACATACCGGCAGGCAGAAGATGTTATTTCCAGTCCCTGCCCAAGTAAACTAGGCATTGTGTGACCTGATCTTTACTCAACATGTGTTTTACTGACTGACTGACTATACCGCTCATCTGGCCAAAGGCCACTCTGGACAGTTTACAACATATAGATAACATAATTAAAATACAATTTGACAAAAATAGAAAATAAAAATAACAAAATATACATTAACAGTGTAAACAAAGCATTAAAATACATTACAAAAACATTTGTTACATTATACCAAATAGTCTGACTCCATGTTCTGTTTTACAGAGATCTAAAAAAAGTCACTGGATGTTAGGATTAATAATTGTAGTTTTGTAGGGAATCATATTCTTTAAAAGACTGTGTTTTAAAGTGTGTGGTGGCGCTGCGGGTTAAACCGCAGAAGCCTCTATGCTGCAAGGTCTGTAGACCTTCAGATGTAAGATCGAATCCACGTGATGGAATGAGCGCCCGTCACTTGTCCCAGCTCCTACTAACCTAGCGGTTCGAAAGCATGCAAATACGATTAGATAAATAGGGACCACCTTGGTGGGAAGGTAGCAGCGTTCCATGTCTAAGTTACACTGGCCCTATGACCATGGAAGATTGTCTTTGGACAAACGCTCTATGGCTTGGAAACAGGGATGAGCACTGCCCCCTAGAGTCAAACACGACTGGACAAAAATTGTCAAGGGGAACCTTTACCTTTACAATATCATCACACATTTAGGAGGAAGAAAACAAATGTATAACAACACATAAATTATTGGGATCACAGCCCTTACCTAACGCATCTATTTCAGTAATAGATTTTGTTTCCAGCTGCAGATCAATGTCTTTAGGAATGGTTAATGGTTTGTTTTCAATGTGACCATTGTATTTCCTGCAAAGATACGCAGAAGTTAGAAATCAGACCAAAACTCATTTAAGTTCTTTCATATCTATTAGTATCAAATGATTAGTTCAAAATAGCTTCTATGAAGTTGAGAGCAGGGATGGAAAGCTACATTACTATTTTTTGTTTTGTTTCAGTGCCAGATTGAACTGATTTTTAGCAGATTTAAGAGTGTGAGAGCCTCATGTTACCAGCCAGACTGAAAATTGGTCCTTGGCCTCCTGAAGATTATCCATTTCTTTTCTATAAGTTGAAAATTTTTATTTGTTGGCACCATCATTGTGAAGAAATTGAGAAACTGGGGGAATATGGAATTCCTCTAGAAAATGCAGGCTTCTTTGTGGGAACAGCTGGCTGAGAAAGTAAGGTCAATGTCTGCTCAGTAACAAGAAGGGAGTAACACCTTATCTCTTGTAAGGCATTCAAGGCCATGTCAGCTTCTTCCCTAGTGCTGCGCTAATTAGAAGACGATTTCAGCTATGTGAAAGGAGGGGTGCAGAAAGTGTTCTTGCCTTTGTGAATATTCGAGAGAACGCAAAACCTGATTGGCAGATCATATGGAAGGGTCTGGATGTTTACTGTATAAAAGGGGGATCAGAAGTTACTTTAGTTGGTTAAGCTTACCTTTCAGAAGATGCCATGCTCAGCTGCTGTGCTATGCCATGCCTGGAAGGATGCATTCCGTGTATGCTTTAGAACAATCCTGACCCTACACTAATGTGTATTAATTAGATTAGCTTTATTGGTTTTTGGTGTGTTCTCTTAATTGTCTTAGCTTTGTTTCAAGTTGTATTTTGCTCCAATTATTCTTTTGGTTTTTTACTGTCTTTAATATAAAAATATCTTCAACTAGCTATCTGAGTTTTTGGCTCAGGGGGCTACCAGGTCTTATCTTGATCAGCAACATAAGTTTTAGTATTTTTGTGGGTGTGGTGGCAGCTCTACTGTGCAAGGTGGGTGTGTTGGTTCTGGGTCCCTGGGCTTGTGGGTTTGTGGACTCCCTGCAAGTGTAAGTAGATTGGAGGCACTGGTGCCAGGAAATTTCCATAGTCATTACCACAACTGACTCCCCTGGGTTCACCCATTCCAGAATAAACAAGATAGTGTAGCTAAGTGGGTATAGAAGAGCTCCCTAAACTTGATAACCATCACAATCACTCTATATCCAAGTATTTTAGAAACATATGTACAAATCTGAATTATATAACTCTGGAAATGAAGGGGACACAAGATCTCAGAGGTTTAACAAAAGGAGCCCAGCACTCGAAATTATACAAAGAAGCCTGCATTTTCTAGAGGAATTCCCTATTCCCCCAGATTGTTATATCTGTCTTCAATGGACAGATATAACAATCTTGGGGAGTTTACATCACTAAAATGTCCTCCCTTTCTTATTTCTGTGCCTTTCCTTCCTAAACTTTACTGTGTATCACATATCTGATAACTAACTAAATCTACTGGTTCCTTTTTGCAGAAAACAAATTTCTTTCCCTCACAATTTTATATAGGAAAAAACCTATAGAAGTTCATATAACCAGTGTGAGCTGTTCAGCAGCAAAAGATTAATATTTCTTCCCACAAGTTTCAGTCTCTCTATCATGCCTCCTAATCTTATTCATCCACATGTCATTTGCTACATGACTACTCAGCAGACTATTATCCCCTCCCTAAAGGATAGGCTTCAGTGGCACAAAACACTTTTCAGAAGCCGAAGCTGGTGCACCACCTGGAGCCACTACCAGACAAAGATGTAGCTTAGTCACAGTTATTTGTGCTCTGGTAATGTCTTACCTGATCAACTGCAATGCACTAATATTGAGCTGAAGACAGTTCAGAAACCAAATATTGCAGCAAGACTACTAAGTGCAAACATACACTGCTGATTTCTTTTTAACTGCATTGTCTTCTGGATTGTTTCTGGATTTAATTCAAAGTGCTGGTCATTACCTGCAATGTCCTTAACAGCTTGGGACAGATTTACCACCTTTCAAAGCCAAATGATAAAATCTTTAGTGAAAGCCAGTCTACATGCCCCCGCTGCTTGTTCCTGCTAATGTTAGGCACTTAGTGGCTCATGACGGAACACCACATCAGAGGTAGCTCCTGTCACTGGAACTTTCTTAGCAATGATATTCATTGCAAGTTGGGCAGCAATTGTGTTTTCTTATACTTATTTGCTCAAGGAAATTTTCAGTACAATTACTGGTGTTATTCTGGTTCTGCTTTTAGTTGCTGCCCTACTTGATCATTTTATTACTATTTTTTTTACTGTTTTAATTACTTCCAGGAAACTATAAACAATATAAACATACTTATAACAAAGGAAACAAGCAGATACCAATCCCAAACCTGTTGTGCTTCCTTCCTTTTCCTCCTGACTCAAACTTTCCCTAGCTCTTTAGAGAAATAGAGGTGATGGGAAGGAAAGTATTCTTGGAGCAATTCCCTCCCTGTCCCCTTTTCTTTTGCTCCCGATAAATTCCCATAGGAACCCAGAGTTTTCTCAAGTTTCATTTGCACGTCAAGGTATTAGGGAGCAAACATTCCCTATTCATTTGTACAATTTATCAAAGGCACAATAAATATTTTCCTTTTTTTTTCAAAGACCTTACAGAAAGGCAGGTAAACCACACCCACCTTACTGCTGGAAAACAGGGGCTGAAAATGAGTGACGCGCTCAAATTGTTTGTTTTCTTACCTATCTTTCTTGCCTTTTCCTTTTTGTTGTTTTCCTGCAAGAATACGTAGTCCTTCTTCGGTGGGGTGTAGATACCATCGCAAACTAGACAATGTCAACAAAACAAACACCAAGAAAAATACAGATGATGCTCATCAGACTGAATTTCAAAGTAGTGGCTTTTTCACTGCTTAGAAAAATTGTTCATTTCCAGGTGATATATGACAGGACACACATTTTCTCATATAAACATTGCCTTGTACTCTATATACCAATAAATCATAAGAAAGTGTTTCCATATAGGCATTACTTTTGCATACACATCTGAAAAGAATATTGTACTTGGATACCAGGATTCATATATGGTGCTTCATAAAAACTAGTTAAAAGCCTTTAAGACTCAACAAATGAGTTTGGAAAATAGTTTTAAATATACCCAGTGACCACTTCAACCTCTAGACTGGAGGCAGACTATCCATACTCTTCTCCCCTTTTCTGGCTCCAGGTTCAGCAAGTCTGTTTTTTCCTAGTGACTCACTTTTGACATTTTTCTTCTATCAAATTACTACTGAAACCCAATTTCATATTTAATTCTTAAATTCAAAATAAAAATGGGGAAATTATGTTAAATGTCTTTACATCTATTATTTTTGACAGGTACTTTGGACAGAGGGGTCAAACAGTTACTGTCAACATACAAAATGTCTACTATGCAGTTGAGCTAATGACAACACTCCCAATATCCTATGACACTTTCTGAGGATATCCATGAGCAGCTGTCAAATCCCCAAAGGAGTCTACAATGGACCAGCAAGGATGCTGGTGCTTTAACACTTAGCTAGGCCAATGCGGCATCATTTCTTCTGCCTATATTGTGCTCCCACCTGTCCCCTACAGTGTGGTATTTGAGCAACTGTCTGGGTTGACAAGCAGCTGCTGAGGATGAGTGCCAGGCTCTCAAAAGCCTCCCCTGCATTTCTCAACCAGCCACCTGGCTCTTACAGTCCTGCCACATGTCTCAGATTCACTTATCAATTAGGGCCTACTTGAAACTGAAGTAATTTAAGGTGAATAGAAAACAACCAATTATTAGCTGGTAAATGCTACCCAGCTGAACACCTGGGCTGCCCACATTTTCGGATGATTTGACTATCACTACATGGTGTATTCTTTAATCAGCATCTATAACCTATTATCCTGGAATTGTTTTAACAGATATTAATTCTTTTATCTAGAATTTAAATCAGCAGAATAGTATCCAGCATTATGATGCTAAAACTATTTTTTTTCTGAACTGTTTAATTGTAACAGAAAACATTAGGAGCAAAACATCCAAAAAGAAATTCATGACTAATTTTAAGAATTTAGGGAGTTTATGAACAACCTAGATATATTTCTTAACAAAATAATTAAGGAATATAGACACTAATGACCTTAAATACTGCTGGAGTTTAACACAAATACTACGGCTGTCACTACTGATTATTTGCTTTCTGAATAAACTATTCTCTTATTTCCTATAATTTCAAATCTCACTTTCATCCATAGGACACACAATTACTAATTACAGACGTAGTTATGAAGGAAATGCATTTTCATTTTGTTGAAGTACTCAGATACAACATAAACTACTTTTTGCAGAAAAACATGGCATCTGTCAAGAAGTAGATGAATGAATAGAAAATATATTAGTAAAACAAGGCATACTACATTTCTCAGCTAGATCTTAAATTACAACATAATGATAATCTCTAGTCTTCTCTATAATCTAATTTAATCTTTAGAAGATTGAAAACTACTATTTTACTATGAACAAGATTTTCCAGATCTGCACATCACAACAATTTGTATCCAGCCAAACTCAAACAGCCTACAGAATAGGACAATTACAACAAAGAGACCTAGGACAGTTTACAATCTTATCAAATTTATGATGGTCTAAGCTTTCATGGGTCAGAACTCACTTTGACAAATGTTCAATTTGTTCCTCTTATCTTACCTGCCACTACAGAGGAGCCATCGGGCAAAAGAGTAGTGAGGTATGATCTTCTGTATAATACTAGCCATCACCATGGTAACCACCAGCTGCACACCTATCACACCCTGTGAAGGAATAAGCTGATGTATGTTAAAGGGCTGGAACAAACTTTTCTATTTTGAAGCTGCCTTTCACAACAACCCTAAAGTCAACTGCAGTTTTCTTGTAAATGAATGTGTGCTTACTAATCCTAACTGTTCCACAAAGGCACTGAGGAAGAATTTAAAAATGTGGTTTTCTAAGAATAAAACACACACTGGCCAAAATCCTATTGCTTAGTGGAGCAAGTCACACTAGAGTAAGCCCAATGAATCAGTGGGGATTAGGAAAGTCAACTCCTTAACTTCCACTGATTCAAGTGGGCCTACTCTAGTTGTGACTTATTATGCTAAGCAAGTCTTAACCAAAGTAGGCTCATTTGAATTGACAGAACTTACACAGAAGTTGACTTATGAGATTGCTAAAGTCAGGGGTTCCCAAACTGTGTGCTGTGGCTCCAGAGTGCACAGTGAATCCCAGGCAGGAGCGACGCAGGAAGAGATACAACATAGAGCTATGAAGCCTATAGAGAGGTTGTTCATAGCTCTATGAAAGGTCCTCTATAGCTTTCATAGTTCTATGTCTAACAGGAACAGGAAATGGAAGTTGTGTATCTGCCTCTCCTTTCCGCATCTTTATGGTCCCCAGTGGAAATGCTTACTGGGTAGCCTCAGGAATTTCCTGCATCAGGAACTGGAAGGATGCAGGCCTTTGGGGATACTGGGGAAAGGGAGGAGGAGATCTCGCTCCTGGTGGGGGAGAGAGCCCTGATGACCTCTCTGAGCAAAAGGAGCTGCAGCCAGTGTTCAGAAAATGAAGGGAGCCATGAAGCCAAAATGTTTGGGAACCACTGGCCAATGCTTTAGGCCTATTCTAGTGTGAGTTTCTATGCCATGCAACAGGATTTCAGCCATTTAGTTGTTTGTCCATTTAGCATACAGTTGCAGGACAGCAAATATTACATAAATGCCCACATTTCTTTTATTTTTGCTTTTTAAAGGGAACTGGACACAGTAATGTGCTTTACTTGCCTCCATTCTTACACCCAGCCTCCAGATTGGCTTCATTTGCAGTTCTCCACTTGTCTCCACTGGAACAAGTTGGAATGGTTTCCAAGTTTGTTTCCATTTTCATTCTGAATATATGTACCTGACAAAGCATGGCTGCACAAAACACCAGGTCACATACCCACCACACTTCGAGGCAAGTCCCTTATTTGCAGGTGGCCAATGGCAGATATGCCGACAAGAAAGATGTAATGATCTGCATATCTGAAACTCAAATACAGTATACTATATTTAAATTTTTAAAATGTGAGATCTTAGTACTACTTTGGTGTGCAAAACATCACTACATGCTGACTAAAACACTACAGTGGTGCCCCGCTTGACGACGATAATGCATTCCAGCAAAATCGCTGTACAGCAAAATCGTCATCAAGCGGAAAAAACCCCATTGGAATGCACTGAAAACCGGTCAATGTGTTCCAATGGGGGAAATACCTCATCGTCCAGCAAAGAGCCTCCATAGGGCGGCCATTTTCGATCCCTGTCTTGCGAAGAATCGGTCCAGAAAATAGCGGGGAGCCATTTTGCAAACCGCCGATCAGCTGTTTTTAATCGTCATCAAGCGAAAAAAAGGTTCCCAAAGCAGGGACCACATTAAACAAAAATCGCCCATTGGAGCCAATTTGCGATTGCTATACCGATCGCAAAAAAGGCATTGTAAAGTGATTTTGTTGTCAAGTGGGGTCATCGTCAACTGTATTTACAAACAGTTAATGTTGTTTACAAACAAGTAGGTCCAAAATCAAATAAAGCATGAAATCTCTCTCTCTAAAAAAATGATAAAACTGAAGCTGTTGTACTTTGGGCACTTCATGAAAAGACAAGACTTGCTGGAAAAGACAATAATGTTAGGAAAAGCTGAAGACGGCAGGAAAAGAGGAAAACCAAATATAAGATGCACTGACCCCATAAAGGAAGCCACAGCCTTGAGTTTGTAAGAGATAAGCAGAATTATTAATGACAGAACACTTCGGATTCCACTCATTTATAGGGTCGCCATAGATTGGGGAGACTTTGATGGCATGTAACAAAATTTACAAAACAGCAGGTAATGGCAGGAATTCTACTGGTGTTTGCATAATTTGTCAAGGTACTAAACAAGGTGCTAGACTACACCTTAGTTACTTCCCTGGCCACAACATCAATTGTGTAACCAAGACGTACTCTGGCTCCTAATTAATTAGCTGCAGTTAAACAGAACAAGTTATGCAAACTTATGCAAATACCAACAGGATTCTGGTCACTGTGTTCCTATACCACACAGGTATTATGTTTATATAGTATGAACCAACCAAGTACCACCATCATTTCCTATTGTAAACAAATGCAGTGTGCCAATAAAATGCACATCCCTAAACACCTACTCCACCCCTTTCAGAACTGCATAGCATAATGAATCTAAGACTGCCCCCATCATACATCTAGGCCTAATTTAATGTTTGCTGCCAAACTGTGCTACAAGACACACTGCTTACATTGGGCTTCACTGTTTCAGTTCATCTTGATTCACCACATAAACATCTATGCTCAGATTCCATTCCCCTAAATGTGCAGTTTACAACATACAAAATTAATTGAATAAGTCATTAAATATTATCTTGTTCAGCATCTCACAGTTTCTTAGCCAGAATTCCCAAAGTAAATGCATCTCTGTACCTATGGCATGTCCCAGTCTCTTCCCTAAACCTGGGAGTTGCAGAGAAAAACAGATCATTCCACAGCTGGCCAGCAACCTCACAGATGAAAGGTGGTAACTGTTAGTCATTACATCACAACACACTTAGAGCAATTATTTGAGATATTTACATCCCTCCTCCCGTTATTATTTATTGTAGGACATATGTTCAATAAAACAATAATGAATTATACAAAATATAAAAGTAAGAAATGAATATACCATATTTTTCTGTATATAAAATTACTCTTTTTCCTAAAATAACTAGAGGAAAAATTGATGGTTGTTTATACATGGAAGGCAACAGCAGGAGACAGAGGCAGAGGAGCAGCTGCGCTCAGCCATCTGATCACCCCCTCCAGCGCCACTGCCGGGGCTTACCTCCAGCTCACGTTGCCGCCTTGTCCCCTGCATGAAGGAGATCATCACTGGAGGAGGTGATCGGACGACAGCGGCAGCAGTCAATGGGCAGCCACAAGACCGAGCGTGGCTGCTCCTTTGCCTCAGTCTCTGCCTCCTGCTACTGCTGCAGTCTCCTCCAGCACCACTTGCAGGCTCAGCAGCAGCATCTTGAACCAAGTAAAACTCTTCAAGAATAGTCAAAAATACAACTGAGCAGGATGGTAGCAGAATGAAAAAACAGCATTTCCAGGCTATCTCTGTCCAGGAAAGATCACAACTTAATGGCAGAACACAATCTACACCAGTGGTTCCCAACCTTGGGTCTCTAGATGTTCTTGGATTACAACTCTGAGCAATCCTGGCCAGCACAGCTAGTGGTGAAGGCTTCTGGGAATTTTAGTGCAAGAACATCTGGGGAGCCAAGGTTGGGAAACAATACTATGAAGAACATCTGTGATTCAACTGAAAAAATAGGATAAATGAGTGTTCCTAAAATGTGACCCTCATTGTTCACAATCCCACTCAAAACAAGTTGAAATCCTTTTCCTAATCAACTAACCACCTGCTTCCATTTTAACAGGGTTGAGTTTCAGCCAAGTAACCCAATATCTAACATATTAATAAGCCCAGGCCCTTAAGATCTTCTACTGGCCCATCTGATTTACACAAGAAGCAGATGAGCTGTCAACAATGCACTGGCAGCATCTAGTTCCAAAATCTGGATTCCATCTGCGTAACAGCTTCATATAAATCCTAACTAGTACTGGAGACAAGATGAAACCCTGTGGGACCCTATGACAAGAGTTAAGAGTTTGAATAGTTTCTCATTTCTCTCCTCGCTTATTATGTCTGTCAGAGTAAAAACAGTTTCTATGCCAAACCCTAATTTCAATAAAGAAAGCCTGGAGCTATCACAGCCACCACTCCCTTGAGTGTTGCCTCCAAAGAGGGAATATTTGCACCAGACAACTAGTAACTATAATCCTTGGGGTAATGAGAGGTTCATTGAAGGAACAGTTGTATGGCTGCTTCCTTCAAGGGACACCTTGTCCACAGCAGTTTAATATAGATCACCTCTTCTTGTAACAAGGAAGTAATAAACTTTTGAACCAACCAATCAAAGCTCAGTTACTTTCAGCTCTGATTGCTTGCTTCTGATGTTTAGTACCAGGATCATGCATACTGCTATTGGCTGAGCTTTTCCAAGAACCCTGACTGCATCTTTCGGCTTCAACAACTGAAATTCATATGATGAAACCTAACTAGCTAGTGTTCTAGGTGCCTTAACTAAGTGATTTATTCCAATTGCAGTATTCAAACTGTAACTATTTGTGGGTTTTATCCTCAATGTTCTGCTGGCACATCATGTAGAATTCATTGGCAAACCCCCAGAACAAATTCCTGCTACTTTTACTAGCTCCAAACGTAAGTCCGCAAGATTGTGCCTTGACATTGCATGGAACCAAAACATGAGGTCAGGGACAAGGCGAGGCACAGGATTCTAATAATCACAGTTTTTGGCTTGGCTACCAAACCCAGCTCAATTTTTAAGATGCTTGGTTATGTACAGGTTAGGTCACTTTACATGTGGCTTTCAGAATTAATGTCCAAGTTCATCCATACAGCAGAAATGCTCAATAAAATAATTGTGCTAAAGTCCTCATAAAATGATGACTTGTCCCCAAGCCTGGCCAATATCTATCAACAGAGAATGAATGCTTCTTTCCTTTCTGAATTGAAGATACATGCTATCCAGGGTGGATTAAAATTGATTATTTAAAAAAATAGATTTTTTAAAATTTTAAATTAGATTTTTTTATTTAAATCAAATTTATTTTAATGAAATGCTTTTGAAGGGAGACTTTATCAAAAGATAGTTTTC